CTCCCTCTCTTGCTCTCGCTCACACTCTCTCTCCCTCTCCTCCTTCTCTCCCCCTCCCTCCCTTCTACTCTTTCTAAAAATCAATGGAGCCCTGGCCAGTTTGGCTCAGCGGTTAGAGCGTCGGCCTGCGGTCCGGAGAGACCCTGGTTCGGTTCCCGCTAAGGGCACGTACCTCGGTTGCAGTTTGTCCCCGGCCCTGGTTGGTCGTGCGGGTGGCAGCCACTCGATGTGTTCCTTCACATTGATGTTTCTCTCTCTCTCTCCCTTCCTCTCTCTCCCTTCCACTCTATCTGTACAAAAAATGGAAAAATATCCTCGGGTGAGGATAAAAAAAATAAAAAATAAAAAATAAATAAAAATCAATGGAAAACATATCCTCGGATAAGGATTAAAAACAAAGTGAGAGTATGAAATGGTGGATGTACAGCACTTAGAATAGCACCTAGCCCACAGTATAGTCTAAATATATATTAGCAGGTCCATAACTATTTATTAAGGGTCTGGTATGTCTGAAGCACCAGAGTCACAATAATGAGTCATGTTAGCAATACTAACAATGAACGTGGTTTGCTTCTTTATGGCCCAAGAGGGTGATAGGTATTATACACATGAGTTCATGTACAGTTTATCCTATGTGCTATGGGAAAAGAAAATGATCCAGGAGGACCTGTCCCTGGCAGGGCTCCAGCCCCTTGGATGGAGTTTTCAAAAACTCTACTATTTGGGGGTAATATTGACTGGGAGAAATGCACATAAACAAGGAGAGTTGGTCTTAGTATTTCAGGCACAGAAGACAAAACAATGATAGAGAGCCTTTGGAGAGATGAGAACCTGAGAATTAGGTAGAATCCTGGTGATCAGAACCAGATCAATGTCAGGATCATCACAACAGGGTGCTGGGATGGGGTAGAGCAGCAAAGGAAAAGGGCTGCAGCACCTGAGAACCCAGCAGGACATGAGACTTTCCCTTGTGGCAGATCCTGCAGTCTTCTGAAACTCAGACCCCATGGGTTAACTCAATTAATCTCCTAAACTGGGTCATTACCCTTGGTTGCACAGCAAGCAGACAACTGGCAGAGAAGGTCCCTTGAATACTAGTATCGAGAAAAAAAATATTGGAAAGAATCTGCTTTTTTTCCAAATCAGGAGAACAATCAGATTCCTCTCTGGGCATTGCTTTAAAATCTATTATCATTATCAGGTAACTTTACAAAGCAGGGCATTAACCAGTTAGAAGTGCCTCAGGCATTTCCCAGGCAGCCAGAGAAATGAAGACAAGGAAGAACACTGCCTTACAGTCATCAGAAGGGCCACCATGATTGCCCATGCTGCTTGGTCATTGGTTTGTGTGGTCAGTGAATCCTGGAAGGCCATGACTGTTAAGGAATGCATGTTTCATAGGAGTTTCAGGAACTTCCCCTGGTTTTGTTTGTGGCCAGGAAGGAGAGCGAGACCCCCATGACATCACCCACACCCACACCCATCTGCCTCTAGAGGGATATAATTAAAGCTACCCTTGGGCTTTGGGTAGCTGTGAGAAATCATGCAACCTCCTCCCAGCGACTAAAAGAAGGAAGCTCTTCAGTCCTAGCACCTGTGTGCGCATTAACAAAGGTAACGGACCACTCCAGAGTTATTTCCCGTCAGGACCCTGAATATGAAGTGATAGCACTTGCTAGCTAACAGTTTGTTTTGCCAGGAAGTTGAAAACATTTTAGAAACCTCTGATCTTTCATTTAAAAATCATTATTAACTCTTTCAGGTCGTGAAAATGTCACTTTAAAAAGCAGGTAATGCAGGAAATGGAAGCTAGCAATTTGAAAGCATTTAACCTTTGCCAAAACACAGACAAAACAGGAACGGACCAGTTGGATCTGACTCAAAGGTCATTAATCCTCACATTTGCTTTCTGATATGACTTTGTGGCATATATTAGCAACCCATGTTACTTACAAAGAAATGAAGCATGAAGAGATTAAGCAGCATGATCAATATCACTTGATATTTAGGTGAACAGAGTAACCGGGAAAGAGCTCACAATACTCTTAGTTTAGTATCTAATACCCTCTTGCAAGCTTCAGGTTCACTCTATCTTCCTCATCTGCAGTCCATTGTCTTGACTCTCCCAACTGGTCTTTTCCCTTTTCATGGCCCAGAGCCAACTGCCCATTCTTTGTGCACAGTAGGCTGCTCCAGAAAATGGGTTCGTTTGTCTGTAATTGGTTCATCCTTTCCTATCTCAACCTGCCCTTCTTTGTGCCAGAGGATTTTTTAGTTACGAGTGAAGAACATGAATTTTTACATCCAGAAATTTTCTCCAGAAATTACTTTGTCTTTTAACATAAGAAGTGTAGGTACAGTTGAGGCTTGACCAAGTCCTTAGGAATGCTGATGCCCCACCCATTTGAAAATCTGCGTGTAATAAGTCTGCCCTGAGCATAAGTGGATTTCCAAAGGAAGATGTAAAATACTATAATAAAAATTGACAGGAGTGAAATCAAACAAGTTTTGGACAGTGAAAGAAAGAGGAAAATGGGCAAAGTCGCATGTCCTCAGTCTTCCTCAAAAGTAAGTGGTGAGAACAAGTTCAGCCTGGTGCTAAGTGGCCTCTAAGCCCAAGGAAGACAGTGCCAGAAGCAGTATGCAAAAGGCTGTTTTTATATTTGGAGTGTTCATATGGGGGCAGTACTTTCTTATTAAGAAATATTTCAAGCATAGAAAACAGTTTAGAGAATAATTTAGGGAACAGACCATTCCAGTAGTTCTCCCCCACCCCATCCATCTGCAATTTTGCTTTCTGTGGTTTCAGTTACCCGCTGTCAACCGTGGTCTGAAAATATTAGATGGAAAATTCTAGAAATAAACAATTCATAAGTTTTAAATTGCCTGCCATTCCGAGTAAGCATGACGAAATCTCATGCCCTCTCGCCAGGGATGTGAATCATGCTGTTGTCCTACATGTCCATGCGTTACACGCTCCCTGCCAGTTAGGCGTTCAGTAGCCATCTTGATGATCAGATGCCCTCGCAGTGTCTCCGTGCTTGTGTTCCAGTCACCCTTATTTTACTTCATAATGGCCCAAATAGCAAGAACAATGATGCTAGCAATTCGAATATGCCAAAGAGAAGCTGTAAAACACTTGCTTTAAGTAAAAAGGTGAAAATTTTCTACTTAAGGAAACAAAAAATATTGCATGCTGAGGTTGTTCAGATGTACTATAGGAATGAATCTTCTATCTGTGGAACTGTGAAGCAGGAAACAGAAATCCATGTTAGTTTGCTGAGATGGAGAAAGAGAGACCATATTCACATAATTTTTATTACAGTATATTGTTATCATCGTTCTATTTTTCATTATTGTTAATCTATTACTGTGCCTAATTTATAAATTAAATTATATTAGAAGTAGTGTAGAAAACACATAGCATGTAGTATATATGGGGTTCGGTACTATCTATGGTTTCAGGTGTCCAATGGGGTTCTTAAAATGCATTCCCATGGATAAGGGGAGACTACTCCATAGAAAAAATTGATAACCCTGAACGTCCATCAGCATTCATTGCTCTGTATATCTTCCCTCTCCCTGAATTTGAAGTTCATTATTTATTGCTGGTTTTTATGTTTTCTCTGTAAATTAATGTATCCATAAACAATGTGTACTATTTTTAGATATTTTCAATCAGATAAAAAATAAAGATAGCTTTTTGCTTAATAGTTTATTTTTATATGATTTAAACATTAGATATGTATTATGATTTGAAAATTATATATATTTTATTATTTTAACATATATTTTTATAAGATCTGAACATTATACAATTTGAATGTTTATATATACCATTTATATATATGTTTTTTACTGTATATGTAGTCCTAATTCACTCATTTTAACCACCATGTAGTATTACAAGGTATGAATAACATATTATTTATCTACTTTGTAGATGGACATTAAAGTTACATGTGAACATTTCTCTGGTTATCAGTTTAGAAGATTACTTGCTATGTTATAGGGTATGCACATTTCAACTTAGGTTGAAATCTAGTAATTAATAAGTAGAATCTAATAAAATTTTGCCAATTTTTCTCCAAAATGGTTTTATCATTTTATATTCTAATCCACAATATGTGAAAGTATTCACTTATGTACATTTTTATAACACTTCTTATTGCCAAATTTCTACGTTTTGCCATACCAATGAGTTCAAAATAGGCCTCATTTTATTGTTAATTTGCTAGTTCCTAATTATTACTATAATTGATGGAATATATTCTGTTTATTGACCATTCAAATTTCCTCTTCCATGAATTGCTTGTTCATGTCCTTTATCCATTTTTCTGTTTGTTATTTTCTTATTTATTTGGAAGATTTTTTATGTATATTCAGGTACTATCTGTCATTCAGAAACATAAATGTGGTCTAGTCTTAAATAACTGATGTATCTCTAGAGTTTGCCTTATATAAAACTTTTAACTAGAAAGTTAAAATTATGACATAGAGAAGAAAGTTGATATTTTCATAAATTTCTGGGTCCAGGAGTGCCACTTTTTAAAATTGTTTTCCCCTACAAGTTCAGAGAGTTAAGTATAGGCTACTGATTTTGTGCTTGATAATATTTGTGCTTGATTGCAAAGTAGGTAGTTTAGAATAACTTTGGTGCTGTATAAGGACCTATTTTGAGAAGGATTAACCTCATATTATTCGGTCTAATAGAGTGCATATCTTCCACTGTGGTCATCACTCCTCACAGGAGCACATAGAATTACTTCTAGGTAGGGGCAAGGGGCATGCAGGAAAAATCAATCCTAACTTACCTCTCAAATACTTTACTACCAGGTAAGTCTCTGCTCATAACATAAATTCCTAGGCCCCAGTAACCCAGGAGAACACGAGGAGTAGAATAACGTCATGGTAATGTCAGATTGCATGGACATGTTGCCTTGAAAATCCTGGTGTGAAATCTTAACATAATGATGGCTTTTTTTTTTTTTTTCTTTCAGAGGTGTGGTGAACTCTCGTTTGAAAACCCTGATCAGAATGCCAAATGTGTTCGCATGATAGGTAAGAAGACTTTTCATTTTCAATATATTAAGCATGTTGATGTCATGTGACTTATTGTTGTTCTGTTGCCTATTGACTGTCTCTTGTTCCAAATTGCAGAGGCTTATAGGCTTTAAATGGGTTTAAAGACAACTTTAACATTTATATGTGGAACACTTAATGAAAAAAAGTTTGATGTGAATAACTGTCAGTAAGTCTGAGTCTTTCAAAATTTTTCTTGCATCATCAGCATAACATAAAATTGGGTACTTTATTCAGGAGACTGTGATGAAAAAGCAAGAAGAATCATTGTAATTCTTAAACTAGAGATGATAAGGTAGGTAAGTAAACTATTAAGAAGTTACATCACAGCACAAAGCTCTTACTCACAATGCCTGGGGGAAAATACATGAAATTGTAATAAATAATAATTAGTTGTACAGTGGGACGATATATCACCAGTGCCTTTCACAAACTCTTTAAGTTATAATATTCTCTTAAGAAATGAAGTTTATATTAATTTCCTTATTATATAGGTTACAAAACTATACAGAGAATATAAGTGTTGCACTTTACCTCAAAGGGAGAAGCGATGCAGATCAAGATATGAAAGCTTCTAAACTGTAAAATTTTAGGTCTAGTGTTTAGAACTTTTTTAAGCCACTAAACTATGTCCAATGAACTTTCAATTAATTGTAGTAATAGAACAAAATAGTAGCATGGGTAAATAGAAATAATGTTTACATTTAGCTTCCACCAAAATTTTATCTTCATTCATTTCAACCTTGAACCATGAGCAAAGAACAAAATGATTTATTTCAGCTTCTTCCATTTGCTCTGGCTACCTCATCTGTTAGCAGCCATATGTTGAGTAATATCTGTAAAATAACTCAAAAGCAGACAGCAAGACAAATAGAGGCAGGAGAAGGTCTTGGTAATTTATATTTTAAAATAATCAGGTAATACTAAGCAAAACACTAAGTACCATATTTTCCTAGCCTTCTGATCTTTCTCATTTTCTTGTACTGGTATTTTAGACCTCTCTGTTGCAGTTCTTATATGTTTAAGTAATATAGTGGCTATATGGTCACATTTATTGGAAAATGAACATTTTACTGGAAGAGCATGAACAATGAGCATAGCATCCACACACCCATTTCAAATATCCAGTATTCTTTTCCCTTAACCATGAAGATTCCACAGAGTGCTTATAGTTCAGGGTACAAACTGAGATAGATGATAGATAGATAGATAGATAGATAGATAGATAGATAGATAGATGATAGAGCAGAAAAAACTTTCTTTATCCAGCCACATGTTTCAACCTTGGATCTGGGAGACTATCTCACAACTACATCAGATCTAGCCATCAGTGAACTCATTTAATTTTCACAATAAGAAGATAAGATTGCTGCTATTATTATTTTCATTTACAGATAACAAAATTGAAGCAAATAATTGGATATATGGGTACCTTAATATCACTAAAATATTATTTGATTATAGCTTCTACCTGATCTAATAACTTGAATTAATTTTTTTTCTTTATTGATTAGAGAGAAAGAGGAAGGGAGAAGGAGAGAGAGACGGAAACATCAATGAGAAAGAACATCGATTGGCTGCCTCCTGCATGCCCCCCATTGGGGATTTGGCCCACAACCTGGGCATGTGCCCTGACCGGGATTTGAACCGGTGACCTCTTGGTGTATGGGTCAATGCTCAACCACTGAGCCACACCAGATGGACATAACTTGAATTAATTTTTAACGCATGATGATTTTTTTTTTTTTTTTATCCTCACCGGAGGACATTTTTCCATTTTTTGTTCAGGTAGAGTGGGGGGGGGAGAGAGAGGAACAGAGAGAGAGAGAGAGAAACATCGATGTGAAAGGGACACATCGAGTGGCTGCCACCCGCACAACCGACCAGGGCCGGGGACAAACTGCAACCGAGGTACATGCCCTTAGCGGGAACCGAACCGCAGGACCGCAGGCCGACGCTCTAACCGCTGAGCCAAACCGGCCAGGGCAACGCATGATGATTTTAAGCACATGAGCACATCACTCATTTTGACTAAATTTTACCTTGTTCTGGTTCTAACGTGAGTTGACTGATTTGTTTATAGCTAGGTAACAGCAATAAACTATTTACTACTACCTATAGTCTTGACTTCACTCAAAGTAAGATCAATCATTTTTTTTTATCTCTTCTAAAGTATATGGTATGGTTTATATAGATGCCAGAAGACATTCCTGGCCAACAAATGCATCATCAGTGAATCTGAGATTGCACAAAATTCCAAAATTAGAAATATATTTATATAAATCAGGTTTATATTACTATTACTGTCATATTGACTGTAATTAATCAAGCACTTAAATATATGACAGATGAAATTCATTCTAAGCACCTTACATAATTAGATAATTTATTCTATGTAAACTAAGACATGGCCTCTCTTTTAAAATATAAATAGAGCCCGGCTGGTGTGGCTCAGTGGATTGAGTGTTGTCTCATGGACTGTGAGAGGTCCTGGTTCAATTCTGTCAGGGCACATGCCTGGGTTGTGGGTAAAATCCCCAGCAGGGGGCGTGCAGGAGGCAGCTGATCAATATTCTATCTCTCCTTTTCTCTTCCTCTAAAAAATTAAAAAATAAAAATAAAATATAGATAGAGATCCTTGGCAATGAGAGTATATTATTAAGGCAGTAAATTTCATTAGTTTATTGAATTTCTATTTTTTTAGTGATATATAACTAAATGACTTAAGAGAACCATGAGTATAGAATTTTTTAATTAGTTTGAGGACATGGGAAAAAATAAAGATGAAATAGAAGAATAATTGTACACCTCTAAAAATCAATAAGTAAATATTTATTGGGTGTCAAAGGTAATACTATGTCTAGTGAGCTTAAGTTACTTGTATCTTATCTTTTTTTAGAAGCTTGCCACAACTTTTAATTGAATCATTTACAAATTCCTTTGAAATCTTAAATTAAAGAGACTACAAAAATAAAGTCATTATGGATATCAATCTTACTCATGGATCAACCCGCCATTATTAGCATGTGTCCACCTAAAGCCCAAGGGCTGCCATTTCACAGCGATACGTACTGTGTAAGCTAATATGAATAGGTGGGATGTTGAATGGTTTATTTCCTTAAAAGAAAAAAGAAAGAAAGAAAATTTCAAGTTATGAACATGTAACCCATTAAAACTGAGACCACATTTTGTATTTCATCATGAAAGAGCATCTATATCAATACAACAAAACTCCACTCACCATTGTCTGGGGTATTAATTTGTTGCTACCTTTGAGAGGAACCTATGATCATGTCCTTATGACTCCTGAAGCATTTCTTGAGAAAAACCTTGTATCTCCAACATTGAAAGATGAGGATTCTCTGGTATTTTAAGTGATATTAACTTCTCTAAGTATTGCCAATCATAAATGTAGTTTGCATTTTTGCAGGTAATGTTATATTGATGAATAAATCAAAATTTCCAAGCAAGAAAACCTCTGATTTTATGCCACCCTGGTAGTCAGATTCCTGTGGAGGCCAAACTGAGACATCCACAGTTTTAAATTGTCAAGCTTTTGGGTCAACCCACCAAGATCCCACCTCTGCCACTCACACTCCAGGTCTGGGTGTCTGCCTGGATCCCAGCTGTGCATGGTTGAGATGGAAGAGGACAGAGGGTTACTACCAGGGACAGCATTTGCAGGTTTCTTCCCTCCTGCTGCTGTCTCCAGATCTTTCTGAAAAATACAATTTTTATGCTTTGAGTTGTCTACCTCACAACTTCCGTGAATAAGCCATCCTTACCAAAGTCATGCTTAGTTCATAGGCTAAAGGAGACAGGAGTGTAAATTTGCCTTGAGTTACTCTAAAGCGTGGAATTCAGTGTAGTTTTAAGTGGGTCAAAATTACTGTCACATGAGTCTTATGGGGAATCATTTCTGGGTTCAGGGAAATAGTTTGTGTTGGAGGTGAAGATAAATAAAGATGTACTCCAGAGCTGGCTGCACTGAGTAGTAACTGTCTATTCCTGAAAATTCCTTCAGATAGGACAAATGTGGACAATCAAGTTTAGCCCCAAATTATAGTAAATGTTGCTTTCTTCTTTCCATCACCAATAGGGCATATGCTCAAAACTTCCTCCCCTGCTCCTTCCACTTTTCAGACTTAGCGATAAGATTTCTCTCAAGCTCAACTTGACCTCAGAAGTTTGTATAACTATATCAAAGGGTACTCAAGTGAATAGCAAGACTTGTATCTTAATTAGGTGTAATGAACTAATACCATCGGAAAAAGGAAGTGGAAAAGCAATTATCTCTCATTGCACAATTAATGTATGAAGTATGGCGAGTTGCTAAAATGATTTTACTTTTCACGTATAATTAAACTGTTGGGTACAAATAGCCAAGAGTATAAAGGAATTACATAAAATGAGCAATGTTGATTCCCTTCTTAGTTCATTTGCTAACCTCCTTCTAAGAAATGATAAATCCTGGAAAAAGAAACAAACAAAAATTTCCAGACTTGTTGCCTCTTACCAGCTCCCTTTTCTCCTTTTTCTCAGAGTGAAGTTCTTTTAAACAGTAAGACTTAATTTGCCTAATTTATAATACTTGTTAGCTCAATTTCTTCATATTCTTTATTAAGATTCATTTTTTTCCCATTTGAAATTTTCCGTGGCCCTCCTTTTGCTCCTGTGGGATTTCTTTCATGGTGATTGGTATCAGGTCATTTGAATGTAAAGTAGACTTTCTTACCTGCTGTGACTCAGAAGCAGGTATTCTGGATGCAGTTTATATAAATCATTTAAAAGGATTGCCAGTTTTCAAAGCAATAGAATAACATAAAATTAATATATTATTGACATCCAACATGAGCACAGAGAGACTTGCTTTCTACCTCTGAAAAATTAACTGTGTACTCATAGAAATTGCTTTGTCTTTTAGAGTCCAATGTATAGTTTTTCTGCAAAATGGGAATAAAAACATCTATCCTTCCTAA